CTCTCTCTTCCTCTCTCTCTCTAAAAGACAATAAAAGATCTTTTAAAAAGATTATGGTGATATACATATAAAAGATATAAAGATGGAGATACACTCAAAGGACATTATCATAAACGGTATGTGTACAAATATACCATATTTTCTCATGTATAAGAGGGTATATTTATGTAATGTATGCATCTATTTACACACCTATCAAATAGCTACTTGATCAGGATGGGAAAAAATTATACTTGGCAGGAAGAAAAAGATCCAAAATTTATGGTCATTTTGATGGAGAAAAATATAAAATGACAAAAATATTTTTTTGCAAGTCCTTGCTACTATTATCAAGAAAGCTCAACAGGGTGTTACTGAGGGTTAGAAACGAAATCCAGCCCGGCCTGCATGGCTCAGTGGTTGAGCATCAACCTATGACCCAGATCACAGTTCCATTCCCAGCCAGGGCACAAGCCTGGGTTGCAAGCTCAATGCCCTATACGGGGCATGCAGGAGGCAGGTGATCAATGATTCTCTTTCATCATTGATGTTTCTCTCTCTCTCTCTTTCTCTGCCTTCCTCTCTGAAATCAATAAAACTTCATAAAAAGCAAAGAAACCTAATCAAGATGATGACGGATAGGTAGGAGTAGAAAGAGCACTAGACTGAAAGCTAGATCTTTGTCTGGAATCTTCCATGGATCAGCTAGACCTCCTTCCTTATAGATAATTGGATTGGATACAATTATCCCTAAGGCCTCTTCCTACAGTATGATTCAACCTCTTTTCTTTAATAAGAAAAAAGTGATGGTATCACTGGCAGAGTGCAGTGCGTAGAAATCCAGGGAGGTAAGAAACAAGGTAAGTGCTGTAAAAGACGACCTGAACCCTGAGCAGAGGTAAAAAACGTGCTTACGTCTCTCCCCGTCATGGGATCTTACTAAAAACGTCAGTGGGTCATCTCTAGGATTTCATTGATGCGAGATTTTCTTTCATGCCATGAGCACAAACCAATGTGTTGTAACATTTTTATGACAAGTATATTTCACCATTCATACTAGCGAGTTTCTGGATCTACAACTAAACTCCCAACAAATGGATGATTATCACAGGGTAAAGTGAGGCAGTGCTTCAATGAAAACGGTCAGCAAAGACCTCCGAAGGTCCTTTCCTAAGGAACGAACGCTAACGTATGGCTCGGATACTTTTCATAACCAGCACTTTTAACATATACTCGTCAATTCTGTGTGTGTTTGTGTGGTGGGAGGGGGGGAAGTAGTGAAATTTCAATTAAGCATTAAGGAAACTACTAATTGGTTACATAGGCCAAAACTAAGAATCCTTTATTGGCTCAAGTTTCTCCATTGACCTTGGCCCCAGTGGGACACTGCCGCACCCTTTGACCCATCTGCCTTCATTCAGTTCGTGCTTCCAATTCTGGGCCATGAAACAAAGGCGGAACCTGTGACAAGACAGGTGTGAAAAGTATAACCTTTTATTCTATCTGTTAAATCAACAGAAACCAAAGGACTTGCCCTATTCCTTTTAGAAGGGAGGTGAGAAAGCTAATTCATTTGTTACGTGTAACAAAAAGTTTCCTATAGTGCTATTTTAATATTGCCGTTCTGTATTATTTGTTCCTTTAGAGTTCATTTGGAAGGACACCTTTTATACCATCAGCACTCAAAACTTTAAAATCTTAAGAAGAAAAAAAATGTTTCGTATCACACTCAACAGCCCATATTGATGACTGGAACCAGGAGGAGGTTTCCTACCTCTGAGGAGGAATGAAAGGCAGACAGAAGAGCAAAATGAGTCCTATTTCCGCGTACAGGAAGCTGGCCACCGCGGTCCACTGGAGGGTCATCTTTTCTTTTCTCTCTTCTCACCTAAACAGAGAAGCACTCATCTTACTGGGCTGGCTTTCCGCGAACACGGGGTGCCCGGCCCCCAGGGCGCAGTGCTTCTGTCCCGGGAGGGGACGGGGTCCCCCAAGTGGAGGCGCCGGCGCCGGGCGGGAGGGGGCGCAGGGGGAAGGGGGCCCGGCCGGCCCCCCCAACGCCAGCTCCCCGCGGCCCGCGCCGGGGAGGGACCTGCGACCGAGCGGCGGACACGGGATCGACGGGCCGGAGGCAGGGCCGGCCCCCCGGGCCCAACCGCCGCGCCCCCGCGCCCCGCCGGCCGGGCGCCCCCGCCCCGGGAGGAGGCCGGCGGCCCGGTCCCGCCCGGCCTTACCCCGCGCGGCCGCCGCTCCGCTCCGTGGGCGCCGCCGACGTCACACGCCGCGCGGGGCGGGCGGGCGGGAGGGAGGGGCGCCGCACCCCGCGCCGCCGGCCCTCCGCCCGGGCCGCACGCTCCCCGCCCACCCCCGCCCCCGCCCCGGGTGCGGGTCGCCGCGGGGTCCGGGCGTAGCGAAGGCGAGGATGAGCCACGTTAGGTTTCTCATTGGTGACGGGATCAGAGGAAGACAGACTTTTCTCTATGGGTGCTCCAGGCTCCCGATGGCTAAAAGTGTGGTTTAGGGGCGCAGGGGTCCTTAAGCGACGTTTTCTGATGGAGTTTGAGGGGTGAAGGGGGTGGAGGGGAGGGTTAGAGCGGGTAGGACAAATGCTGTGAGCACGTTTGAAACGGACTCCTTTTCTCTCCTGGCTGTTTAGGATAGAATCGGTTTCACTGTCCAGAAATAAGTTGTAGTTCAATAGAAGGGTTGGGATTGGGTTAGTTGAGCATCATTTTGTTCTTCTGGGTCCGCGGGGCAGTGGAAACATACTTTGTGTTTTACTGCGCTTGTCCGTGGGCTGGGGAGAGGCAATCAGCGTTAGGATGCTTGGAGACTGGTAGGAAAGGGAAACTATAGAGGCATGGGTATTTTCTTTCTGTTACCATTTCCCAGGGTTGCATTATATTTGTTTTAAAATGTTATGTACTTATTACCATTTTTTTTTTAAATTTTCAGTTACAGTTGACATAGTGTTTTGTTAGTTTCCAGCAGACAACTATTAGACATTAAATAAGTGATCATGCAGATAAATCGCACTCATCTGCTACCATACATAGTTATTAAAATATTTTTACTACTAGAGGCCCAGTGCATGAAACTCCTGCATGAGGGGATGTGTGTCCCTCAGCCCAGACTTCACCCTCTCCACTTTGGGACCCTCAAAGGATGTCCAGCTGCCCATTTAGGCCTGGGCCTAAGTGGGCAGTCAGACATCCCTCTTACAATCCAGGACTGCTGGCTCCCAAACACTCACCTGCCTGCCTGCCTAATTGCCCATAACTGCTTCTGCCTGCCAGCCTGATCACCCTTAAACACTACCCTGCAGCCTGATCAATACCTAACTGCTCCTCTGCTGGCCCAGTTGCCCCAACTGCTCTCCTCTACTGGCCTGGTCACCCCCGTCTTCCCCTGTTGGCCCCGTCACCCCTTGTTAGCCTGTTTGCTCCTAACAGCCCTCCCCTGCAGGCCCAATTGCCCCCAACTGCCCTCTCTTGCCAGACTGGCTGCCCCTAACAGTCCTCCCCTGCAGGCCCGGTCCCCCCAACTGCCCTTCCCTGCTGTCCATCTTATGTCCACATGGGGGCAACCATCTATGACCACATGGCAGTGGCCATCTTGTGTGTTGGATTGATGGTCAATCTGCATATTACCTTTATTATATAGGATATTCTCTGTTGTACTTTACATCCTTATGCCTATTCAGTTAACAATTAGTGCTTCTTAATCCCTTCATCTTTGTAACTGATCTCTGCAATCCCCCTCCCATCTAGATACAGAACCATCAAAATGTTCTCTGTATCTTGAGTCTAAGTTCTACTTGTTTTTAGATTCAATTGTTGATATGTATTTATTGCCACTTTGAATAACTATGAAGTATATATTAAAATTCATTTCATTTTCAAAATTGAGCTATCAATTGTTAAAGTGTGTATACATTTTTTGGGGGGACACCCTCTATTTTTCCTTCTTCTCAAAGACACTAACATTTCATGTAATACTGGTTTGGTGGTGATAAACTCTTTTAGCTTTTTCTTGTCTGAGAGGTTCTTTATCTGTCCTTTGAGTCTGAAGAATAACTGTGCTGGGTAATCTTGGTTGTAGGCCTTTGCTTTACATGGAATATTTCTTGCCAATCTCTTCTGACCTGCAGTTTCCATTGAGATAACCTTATGGGAGCTCCCTTGTAGGTAACTGCTTTTCTCTTGCTGCTTTTTAAGATTCATTTTGTCTTTAACCTTTTGGATTTCAATTATGATGTGTCTTGGCGTGGGCCTCTTTAGGTCATCTTGTTTGGGACTCTATACTTCCTGGACTTTTATGTCTATTTCCTTCACCAAGTAAGAGAAGTTTTGTTATTTTTTCAAATAGATTTTCAATTTCTTGCCCTCTCCTTTGTGGCACCCCCATGATACAAATGTTGGTATGCTTGAAGATGTCCCAGCGGCTCCTTACACTAGGGGTTCTTTTTTGTTGTTATGATTGGGTGTCATTGAATAATTTGATGGAAACATAAGTGTTAAATTATAGAAACAAAATCTAATTAAATTCAGCCATATACTATTTAAAACAAATACCTTGAGAAGTGTAATGCATGAATTAGGAAGTCACACTTTGATTTTTCAATTTGAACTTTTAATCTAAGTCATGAATGCAATTCTATATAGAATGTCTTGTTCCTTTTCTTTCTTTTTAAAAAAATATATTTTATTGCTTTTTTACAGAGAGGAAAGGAGAGAGATAAGAGAGTTAAAAACATCGATGAGAGAAAAACATCGATCAGCTGCCTCCTGCACACACCCAACTGGGGATGCGCCTGCAACCAAGGTACATGCCCTTGACCGGAATCGAATCTGGGACCCTTCAGTCCACAGTCCTATGCTTTATCCACTGAGCCAAACTGGTTTTGGCTGTCTTGTTCCTTTTCATTTTACAGAAGTTGGCATTTGTTTTGTCATTTCTCTGCACTTTTTCTTATTAAAAACATAGTTCATGTTAATTTACAGATACTATATGAGTCATACTTTTAGTATTAAAATAAAAAATTTATTTAAAAACTTTAAAAAACACAATTCCTTTAAAGTACATATTAAAACAATTTAGGAAGTCCAATCAAATCCCATAATTGTCTGTAAGGTAATCTAAGACTGCTGATGTGCTTGACAAAGCATTAAATATTCTTTTTTCTTGCCTGGAAGTTATCTTTTCCATCATGTACATTAAATGTTGATGGAAACACATAAAAGGAGTTCCAAGTTCAAGAGCAAGGTCAACCCAATCCCAGATACATTTCAGGGGGGTTTCTTCATATCCAGCAAACATGGCTGGGTTTGCTAAGAGTCCTCTTGCAACCATCACACCTATGAATTAAAGCATAGAACATTTATCCACATATTAAGAACTCATAGTTACAAGGTCACACTCAAACAAACAGAGAATTAAAAAATAAAGTATATTACAAGGTTTCACAATACCCTGATATTAGTCTGTGTAATTCAATTATAATATAATTTTTATAGTTCTTTTTTCAAGTCTAAAGGTAGTTACAGATTTTTTATTTTATTTTACTAAGACTTCTACATTAAGCAATTAATCTTTATGCTTTCTGTTAAGGGCAAATCCAAATTATCATAAATTGGGCTTGCTTGAAGTTAAGTTTTATCTGCATTCTCCCGCAGATTACCTAACAATAGGTATCACAGGGATTGGTGGGCCAGTAATTTAAGGGGATAAGGAAACTGCATCGATGTCTGGGGTTCTTTTGGTTCCTATGAATACTCTTGTGATCGCTCACTCTCAGTTCTAGTCAAGGTGTTCTATTTTACTAACAGGCTATCTGTAAGATTCTTAACTAGTCTTTCAATGGATATGATGGTGGCAGTATAAAGAATAAATTTACCTCAACTAACCTACTGTCTCTGACTAGAAGAGTTAACATACTTAAATAAGTTGCTTAGCTTAAACCAACACAAGAGGAAAATATAGTTCCAATTTAATGAAAAGTAAAGAAAACATTAACATTATTCTTCCATCCCCACTTTTTTTTTGCTACTTAAAAGACAAAAATTCAGGTACTTATTTCTTACCATTTGTACCAGTAATATGGCACACATTTTCTGCTTCTTTTAAGCTTCTGATGTCTCCATTAGCAATAACCGGTATAGACATATTTTCCTTAATTATTTTAATAGCTTCATAGTGAACTGGCTGGTGTCTTTCTTCAACGGTTCTCCCATGGACTGTAATCCAGGAGACTCCCGTTGCTTCAGCCTTTCGACAAAGATCCACAGTTCTTGCAAGGTCATCATGGATCCTATAATTTTAAAATTATAGCCATCTTTTTATAGCACATAAATCAAAGCTAAATTTAATAACTAAATACAATAATATTTTATATAAAACCTTAGGTAGTTTTTCTACATCATATTATCACTATATGTCACTATCAGTAAGGTTTTTTTTGCTCAGGGATCAGTTCCAATTTAAGATTTCAAATGTAGCTATTTCACTATTGTCAATAATAGGATGACAAGTTTTATCTTATCTAGTGCTCCTCTCCTTTGGCTTACAAAACTGAAAATGTTAGTCAAATACTCCACACATGAATTGAAAGATGCTATCCTAATATTTGCTTGTGTATGAGCATTCCCCAAATGGGAGAAAATAATACTTATTTATCTTAAAATATATTTTTCACCTGTCACCAAAAAACTGATTCCTGGTTTATTTTATTTTCATTGTGAAATTTTAGTGCAAATACCATTCCTATTTTCTACTCTTGGTACCAGAAATGTATCTTAGCATTAATTAAGTAGTACATAGAAAAAGTTAAGGGTTTCTTTTTGAGGAGAGTTTTAAAGTTTTTTTCTCTCACAGAACTGATTAAAAAAAAAAAAAAAAAAGGAAACATTGGTGAGAGAAACATCAACTAGCTGCCTCCTGCATACACTACACTGGGGATCAAACCCCAAACTGGGGCATATCCCTGACCAGGAATTGAATTGGTGACCTCCTGGTGCCTGGGATGATGCTCAACCAACCGAACCACACTGGCCAGGCGTGGATAAAAGTATTTAATAATAAAAATTTTTTTCATTTCTGTTAAACAATACAAAGAGGAAATTACTCTGGATTATAAAAAAAAATACTGTATATATTCATTTTCTAAATATCTTATTTCAACATTTCTATACACCACCTGCAAGTTAAGGATAGACAGCCCTGAAGCCCCAAACAGAAGGAATATTCTTTTATTTCTTAAGTAAATAACTATCTGTCAACAGGTTAAAATATTTTTACCTTATTTTAATAGATACTGAAAATCTGGGATTTTCCACTTGATTTCTTACTTGTTTCACCATATCTTGAACAAGCTCTGGCTTGTTTATTAAGCAAGCTCCATAACCGTCAGCCATTGCCCACCTTTATGAAGCAAACACAACCACAAATAAACTGTAGTTGAAAAGAAGATTGCCCACCTTTATGAAGCAAACACAACCACAAATAAACTGTAGTTGATAAGAAGATACATTTCTAAAGGCTCTATAAGTGCATCTAGTATTTTTCTATCTAACAATCTTGAATGGAATCAGATTTTTACAATTCATAGATCCAATGTTTCTTTTAAAAAATATATATATACTTTATTGATTTTCTTACAGAGAGACAGGGAGAGGGCTAGAGAGGTAGAAACATCGATGAAAAGAGAAACATTGATCAGCTGCTTCCTGCACACCTCCTACTGGGGATGTGCTCGCAACCAAGGTACATGCCCTTGACTGGAATCAAACCTGGGTCCCTTCTATCTGCAGACTGATGCTCTATCCACTGAGCCAAACCTGTTAGGGCAGAGCCAACATTTCTAACTTGACCAATTTAAAATTAGGAAAACAGGTTCCCAGTTCAAAAAGTACTTAGAGGAAATGGTTTTCACTGGCAAGTCAGAAAATTAAATTACTATCCATTCAACCAGAACAGATTTAAGTACTTGTAATTAATTTCAATTATTTCAGATTTTTTAAATTCCAAATTTGATGTTTATTATACATAATAAGAGGTTTTATTAGTCTTAATAGTAGAGAGATAAGTTTGGCTTATAGCATTCCAACATGACTAAATAGCTTATTTAACTCTCCTAATGAGTATACAAATATGTCTAATCTGATTTGGATTATGCTGTATTTAAAACCTTGATTTTATTATTTGGACACATTCTGAATTATTGTCAGATAACCTGTTACAGTGTCAGAAACATAGGGATATTGTCAAATTAAGTGCATCCTATAAATACACAGTTATTTAGAATCACCAAATAATTGTGGCATAGGGGAAAGAAAAGTAATTATAAGAAGGTATTCTTATAAAGAAAATTAATTAGGAGAAAATAAGTGGTGAGCTCCCAAATCATAGAAACAGTTTCTAGAGCACATATATCTGACATGACAGTAAAAATAAATTTTAGAATTTGCTATAAACATCAGTGTCTCATGGAATGTTTTAGAATTTGCTATAAACATCAGTGTCTTATGGATGAGGTTTAAGGCAGATCCACACTTTAAAAAAATTGTAGTGGTTAGGTAAGATAAAACAGCTGTCAAGGGGTCTTTACATTGTTTCAGCCATCAGAAAATACCTCTGCATGTATGTTCCTAAATAATCTTCCCTTATTTTTAATTCTTAGTTAGAGCCCAAGTGCTTTAACTATTTTCCTTACTTTTTAATTATTGGAAAGCTAGAAAGATAGTTTACCATGTTCACATAGTTTTTTCCTAATCTTTTTGAAAATTCTTCCAACTTCTTTTGAGCTTTACCTCTGAGGGCAACCACAGTTAATGTCTATTCCATTCGCATAAGGACAGACTATACGAGCAGCATCAGATAAAAGTCTTGCATCATTAGCAGCAAACTGAACAATCAATGGGCAATCACCTGATAAAATGAATAGCTCAACATTAAAATTCACAAAAACACACATACACACACCTGCACACACGAGATACCAATATAAAATAACCATTTTTAGCCTAAGAAGTATCTGTTCAAACAAGAGAGCATTAAAATAATTTTAAACATTTTAAATAAAAAGCAATTCACATTTAGTTCAAATCCAAATGTAAGGTTTGATTGAATGAAAAGTACAACACTGTTGACAAACAGACCCTTTCCAAAGATGAGAATTATTGTATTCCAGGACAATTTTATGTGTATCTGTAAATTTTTAACCAATGTGAACAATCTATGTATTGTACATTGCTGTAATACTTTATTTTTAACCTGATGTGCCTGGGAGCTGTCCTCAGACTTTTCTTTTCAGTGGCATATTCCACTGTATATAGATGACGGCACATAATGTACTTCTAGATTGCTTTTTGTTTGTGGCTATTGCAAACAATGTGATGAGGATACTCTCACATGCTTTTGTTGGCACATTCAGGTGTGTAACTTTTGAACAAGCATCTAACATTTTATAGACATTACAAAAATTTCTTTCAAAACAATTTACCAACTCTGGGGACCCTATTCAGATGTTCAATGTCAATTAGAGTGTGGTGGGCCTATTCAGAGTACATCAGATATTCAAGGCCATTCTGAGTGTGGGAATCTGAAGTGTTTAAGGCTAAGATGCTATACACAGGTGCAAGAGCAAGGCCACAGTAGTCTGTATGTACACTGCATAAGTGTGCTCTTCCATAAATCAAAAGACTGAGGTCACTATTTGGCAAGAACCCTCTTTTGTCTAAGTAGTATAAAATGTTAATGACCAACAGGCAGCATGCGGCTGCTCAAATAATGGCTGTAGATACAGAGGCTGCTGCTGCTGCTGTGTGAGAAAGATGTATGGTGTGCAGTTACTGTATGGGACTTTGCTTTGAAGAACTGTTTTGTTTAGTGGCTCCTTGTTAGCAATGGCTACTTGGCCTCTGGCTCCCACTATAAAGACTCTCATATATAGCCACAACTTCTCATAGCTTCTCTGTCATTGAATTCCTGGTGATCAAGGGGGTCCAGCCTCTCGGATTCAACAATTGGCATAGTGGAACAGGATGAAGGAACGGAGTTCCAACAGCAACATAGATACATACCAATATAGAGTAAATTCTTGTTTCCTTGTAACTTATCCTATGTTATATATCCAATAGTGTGTATATTTTTCTTTCTGGGCTTTCCATATTCTTGGCACATTTTTTATATGCACAATTTTTCTTTTAGTTATTCCTTTTTATTTAACTTTTTATAAAACAATGAAATTAGCTCTATCATAAATAAAAAAAATACTAGAGGCTCAGTACATGAAAATTCATGTACTGGAGGTGGGGTCCCTCAGCCCAGCCTGTCCCCTTTCATAGTCCGGGAGTCCTCAGGGGCGGGAGGCGACCCAGCAATCCGGGGAAGGTGATGCCATTGCTGGCCCTGGTTATCTGAGCCTCGGTTCCAACATCTGAGGCTTGCCTGCACCCTGAGTGTTGGCTTGGCAGCCGCCATCTCAGGCTTGCCTGCGCATCAGGCTGGCCCAGGGAGGTTGGGGGGCTGAGGGGACTGGGGGACTCCAGAGGCAGGCATGTGGGGCATTTGGGCACCACCAACTTTGAGGGCGTGGCAGTCGAGCATATTACCTCCTTATTGGCTGTGGGCACTGCCATCTTTGAGGGTGGAGAAGTCAATTAGCCTATTCCCTCCTAATTGGCTATGGGTGCCACCATGTTTAAGGGTGGGGCAGTCAATTAGCATATTCCCTCCTTATTGGCTGTGGGTGCTGCCATCTTTGCAACAGCGTGAGGGTCAATTAGCATATTCCTTCTTTATTAGATAGGATCATAAACATTTTTCCAATTTTAGGTGTTTTTTTTTTAGTGTATTTGTGCTATTTTCTTACATATAAAAGTTTAAATTTTAATATAGCCAAATATATCAATTTTCCTAGGTTTTAAAGGACAAATTTTTTTTCCATCTTTGGGTTAGTGTTAAAACTCTGGATAGATGTATTTTAATTTTTCTAAAGACTTTTTGAGGACTACCTGTGTGAGATTTACTGGGTACCTGCCAAAAATGCAGATTTCTGGGTATCATCCAGTTCCGCTAATTTACAGTATTATCCTGGGGTCAGAAAATTTGCCTTTTCCTGAGGATGTAGGATGCTTTCCCCTTTGTAACTGAAGAGAGCTATAGAATTTCAGTTTAACATTTACTTATGGGTCTAATCTATTTTCAACACTATGCTAGATACTGAGGATATGAATCAGTAAGAAATAGTTCCAGGTCTCAGGGAGCCCACAGTCCAGGAGGAAACATAGGCATTCAAAGAGAAAATTATAACACAGCAGGATTAAGTGCAACATTTAAAGACTGTGCTTCAAAGAAATAATATGAGTGGAGAGTCATTAGGAAAGTACCTAAGCCACAAAATCCCAGAGCTAGATTCAGAAGCATAAACTGTTGTTTGTCAAGAGAAATAGGGATATAAGGGACAAGCATGGCTGGGAAGGAGAATCTAGGTAGAGAAGTATGAGAGAAATAGAGCATGGGCCTTAAAATAACTTAGCATTTGTGAGTAATAAAGTCAGTGGGCTCTGGAAAAAAACAAAAAACTAATAGAAGATAAAGCTGAGGATGTATTCAGAGGCTAGATCATGAAGAATGTTACATATTATTCACAGATGCTAGAATTTTACTCTTTGGGCCAGTGGTTATCAATCTTTAGCAAGCTTAGAATCATCTAGAAGGCTTTTTAAAACAGGTCTGGACCACATACCCAGAGTTTCTGATTCAGTAGGCCTGGAGTAGAGGCTGTGAATTTTCATTTCTAATTAAGTTTCCAGATGCAGCTTTTCTTGCTGGTCTGGGGAATCACACTCTGAGAATCACTGCTTTAGGCAAAAAAGAGATCTAAGAGAAGTGTTCAAATTTACATTTTAAAAAGGTCACTTTGGGTTGTTTAGAGGATAGTTTAGATTGGGACAAGAAAGGGGGAAGTGAGACAGGAATCTAATTTAATAGTCTAGGTGAGAGATCGTGGGCCCTAAGGAAGGCTTAGTATTTTGTATACCATCCAGTTCGAAGACACTCAATAAAAACATATTTTACAAATACTTATTAAGAGACATTATATACTAAAAGATTAAAAAATAAAATCTCTGAATTGGGATTTTTAAGATTTACCAAGTCAACAAACTCTGAGTTTCACATACCTTGGTTTGTGGTAAATTCACTGTCTCTGGCTTTTTCAGATCTGACAAAATCAGCAGCTACTATCATTGGTGTGTAGCACAGATCACAATTGTACTTTCTTACTAGTGTTCTAAAAGCTAACCTGTAAAGGGATAAAACTTTAATTAGGCGTTTAGAAATCAGCCCAATCATATGTACTTCCAAGTTTAATTTAGTTAACTATTAAATATTTATTAGAGGAAAGGTCTATGTATTGGGAGATGGAGATCTCCCTGGACTTCCTGCTTAGTATAACTAAAACCCCTGGATTTTATAGTAAAAAAAAAAAAGAAAGAAAAAGTTTCAAAGGTGAAGAAAACGGACATGCTAGTGACCTCAGGACCTGAGGAATAACAATGGTGAGTTTCTTGGGTTTTCTTTTTACCTGAAATATCCCACACTTGGAGCTGAAGAAGCTGGCAACTGGAAATACCAACGTGTGCCAACAAAAGCGCCTTAACAGAAGTCTGCTCTCCCCAGCCAAACAGCCAGGAAAGGGTCAGCCTCGCAAGACAGAAAACAGTACAGAATAGCAGCTCGACTCCAGCCAAACACCAAGAAAAGACAACTGTGGTTTCCTCTCCACAAAGGCTGAGTGGGGAGCCTAGGTTTCTACCTTTCCAAGGCTGTGACAAGGTTCTCCAGTGTCCCTCCAAAGTAGTATCAGAAAAGGCCAGGTAGGTAGCTGGGCCTTCAATCCTTGCTGGCAAGTTACAAGGTGCCTCCAGAGGTATCAGTGGAGACCTCATGGGAAGTCTACACCTACCCAGCAGCAGGGAGGCGCCCTCCTTCCTCCCACAGGGAGCAGCATCAGAGCACGCTGAGAGCAGAACCAGGACTTTCATCATGCCCAGTAGCTGCCAAGCCACCCACTCCATGTGGACCTGGAACTCTCCCTGCTGCTCAGCAGGAATGAGGAGCCCTTTGCCCTCAGAGTGTCAAAGGAGACTAAATGGGGAACCTGGACTTCTACCTCGACCTGATTGTAAAGAGGTGGTGCCTCATCTTTCTCCTGCTGTAGTGGTGTCAGAAAATCAACAGTTAAAACAGAAGGTTCAATACTCAGAATCAATATTATCTACCATATTAATAGGCTAAAGAAAAAAATCGTGATTATATTAACAATGCAGAGAAAGCATTTGACAAAATAATACTCATTCATGATGAAAAGAATTCTCAGAAAAATAGAGAAGACCCACAAAAAGTCCTTCAGCTAACATTACACTAACTGGTAAAAGATAGATTACTTTCCCCCTAGATTAAGAACAAGGCAAAGATGTCTGCTTTCATCATTCTTATTTAACACAGTGCTGGAACTTCTAGTCACTATAATAAGGCGTGATCAAAGGCATATGATAGAAAGGAAGAAAGGAAACGAGGTCTCTTATACATTGTTGGTGGGAGCATAAAACATATAGCCACTCTAGAAAAGTTTGCAGTTTCTTAAGTAAATTAAACATATAACTACCATATCTATTATCCTAGATATAAAAATTTCCGTTCACACAAAAACCTGTGCAGACATGCTTATATTTATTTAATAACCATTATATTATAGATAGGAGTTATAAGCACTATTGTTTTAAAAAACTGTTTTTATTGAGAGAGGAAGGGAGAGAGAAACATGGGTAAGAGGGAGAAACATTGGCTGCCTCCTGCACGCCTCCTACTGGGGGGGTCAAGCCCGAAACCTGGGCAAGTGCCCTGACTGGATTCAAACCAGCAACCTCTTGGTGCATGGGAGGGCGCTCAACCAACTGAGCAACGCCAGCCAGGAGGAACTCGGAGAGGTTAACTGTTTACTCAGGGCCACACACATACTAGGCAAGTGGTAACATCAGGACTCAAGCCTTGATCATGATCCAAAAGCTAAGTGTTGGAAGATGCCATGTTGTGAAGTGGTCTTACTTTTAAAAAGTCAGCATAAAAAGGAAGTCACCATTTAACAATACTTACTTTGAATATCGAACCATTGGGGCGGAGACTTTTACAAACTGCCCAGAATGAAATAGTTCTATTGGATCTTTTATCTTTCTTGACATATTGTGTTTTGTACGCAGTCATTCTTCACGAACACAGATTTGTTTCAAATCTGAAAAACAAACAAACAAAACACACACACAACAGAAAACCACAATCAGTATACATAGAAAAAAGGTACTTTCATTAGATGAATTCCTATCATTCTAACAATTTCAATGGCCAAGAACACACATTTTTCATCAGGCCAGTGGGCTTTGAAGTCTCTTTAGCTTATTTTGATAGTATCAAATAGGATATTACAAAATTCTGCCTTTATAAGTTACTGATAGTTTTAGCACTTTGGGAAATTATATTTGTTATGTACAGATTATGCTTGTTCATGTCAAACACTAACAGTTTCAAATTCTATACTTAACTCATTAAAGTAACACTAGAGGCCCGGTGCATGAAATTCGTGCATGGTGTGTGTGGCGTGTTTCTTACCCCAGCCTGCACCCTCTCCAATCTGGGACATTTCTCTCACAATCCAGGACTGCTGGCTCCCAACTGCTCACCTGCCTGCCTTCCTGATTGCCCTAACCGCTTTTGCCTGCCAGTCTGATCACCCCTTAACCATGCCCCTGCCAGCCTGACTGATGCCTAACTGCTTCCCTGCAAGCCTGCCGTCCCCTATAGGTCTGATCACCCCTAACTGCCCTCCCCTGCAGGCCTGGTCACCTCTAACTGCCTTCCCCTGAAGGACTGATCCTCCCCCCACCCCCCCAACTGCTCTCCACTGCAGGCCTGGTCACCCCCAACTTGCCTCCTCTGCTTGTCTGGTTACTCCTAACTGCCTGCCCCTGCAGATTTGATCGCCCCCAACTGCCCTCCCTTTCAGGCTTGGTCCCTCCCAACTGCCCTCTTCTGCTGGCCATCTTGTGTCCACATGGGGGCAGGATCTTTGGCCACATGGGGCAGCCATCTTGTGTTGGAGTGATGGTCAATCTGCACATTACACTTTTATTAGATAGGACAGAGGCCTGGTACATGGATGGGGGCTGGCTGGTTTGCCCTGAAGGGAGTTCCGGATCATGGTGGGGGTTCCCTTGGAGTGTGGGGTGGCCTGGGCGAGGAGCCTGTGGTGGTTTGCAGGCAGGCCACTCCCCCTGGAGACCCTGGTATCTGGAATTTTCTTATACAATTGAAACTTTGTAGCCTGGAGTGGAGCCAAGCCTCCTGCTTGTTCTTTGGCAGCAGCCATTTCTGTTGGGACTTATGTATCTTCTATAATTGAAACTTTGTAACCTTAAGCTGAGGCCAAGACAGGCCAGGGCTGCGGAAGCTTGGCTTCCTCCATTGTCAGGGAAACCTAAGCCTCCCTCCTACTCTCTGTGGCTGCAGCTATCGTGGTTGGGTTTATTTGCATATTCACTCCTGATTGGCTGGTAGGTGTGGCTTATGGGCATAGCAGAGGTATGGTCAATTTGCATATCACTCTTTTATTAGATAGGATAACTGCATAGTAAATCACTTTTATACTGAAAGAGGAACAAATTATTAAATTCAGCAATTCATAGTATTTTATAGACAACAAAATTAGTGTTGTCTGAGTTCTAACTGAACCGAAGAGTGAGAAGGCCTAGACTGGCATGAACCTTATATACCATCTAAGTTTCTTTTAGAGTTTATAATGTAGGTCAGTGTTTTCAACATTTTTCATCTCATGGCACACATACTCTAGTAAAATTCTGCAGCACACACACACACAAAAGTAGATATTTTGTTGATCTGACAAAAAAATAGGTATAATTTTTAAAGGTGATTGTGACTTAAAAAATATATTTTTAGCCGAACCGGTTTGGCTCAATGAATAGAGTGTCGGCTTGGGGACTGAAGGGTCCCGGGTTCGATTCCGGTCAAGGTCATGTACCTTGGTTGCGGGCATATCCCCAGTAGGGGGTGTGCAAGAGGCAGCTGATCGATGACTCTCTCATTGATGTTTCTAACTCTGTATCCCTTTCCCTTTCTCTCTGAATAAAATATATTAATTTATATATTTTTTATTTTATTGATTTTACAAAGAGGGAATGTGAGAAACATTGATTTGTTCCGCTTATTTATGAATTTACTAGAGGCTCGGTGCACAAATTGGTGCACAGGAGGGGTCTGGCCAGCCTGCCCCATCAGACTGGGTAGGTGGGGCGGGGTGGGGCAGGCGAAGGGGAGGAGCTGCGGGCCACTGGCCGGCCCCAACCCTGGTTGAACTCCCAGTCAAGGAGACAATTTACATATTAGCCTTTTATTATATAGGATTGGTTGATCCTTGTATGTGCCCTGACCAGGGATCAAACTCACAACCTTGACATATTGGAATGATGCTGCAACCAACTGAGCTAATAGGCCAGAGCAGGTATAATTTTGCTTCACTCACACCTGATGGCTATTGTGTTGGATCTTTTTATATGACAATCTTGAGAAGTGGTCAGTGCCTCTGCCTAAATTGCATGTTTTTAAAATTCTTGCAGCACAGCTCTCTGGTGAGTGTAGCTACTATACTTGAAAGGCTGTTGGTTCAATTCCCAGTCAAGGCACATAACTGGATTGTGGGTACCATCCAATATAAAGGCCAAAGGGGAAAAAAATTCATATTTCAAAAATACGCTTAGTTAACAATAAAGAATTTCAGATAATGAAACCTAAGTCTGAGACACTGCCCTTCATAATCCATTTGACCTCTATTCAAAACCATTAAGCTTACCATGATTGAGATCAAACAAATATTAGGAAACACCTGAGACAGAGAAAGCAAGCCCTCAGCGGGTTTGGCTAGTCCCATGCTTCTAGATTTAGTTCACCGGTTCTATTCGGGTCAGGGCACAGGCCTGGGTTTCAAGTTCCATTCCCAGGAGGAAGTCAATCAATGTTTCTCTCCCTTTCTCTAATACCAATAAAAATATAATTTAAAAGAAAAAGGGAAAACACAATTCCACGTACCATGAGACTTGCTTGCTTTAGCTGTTTAAGTATTAAATGCATTTAGATTTATAAAGTACTTAGAAAAGTGTTTAGCATCGAGTAATTACTATTATTGCAACTTCTTGAAATACTCAACAGAACTAAGAGAACTACCTAACTCTGAATTAGGGGGAAAACAGCTCCCTGTGTGTATATGAAGTTGTATTACATTTTCTTTGTATAAATAAATGTTTGTTAACCTTCTTACATACGTGTTTGATCTGTTAACTTACCAGCATTTATCTTGGAGGAATCTAGGTGAATGCCTAATGCAGATGTAGCAGCGGAGATGATAAGAACTTGACTTTTTTTTTTTTTTTAAGTAACTTTATTGATTTCGGAGAGGAAGGGAGAGAGAGAAGCATCAATGATGAGAGAGAACAACCCACTGGCTGCCACCCGCACGCCCCCTACTGGGGATCTAGCCCGCAACCCGGGCATGTGCCCAGGCCTAACCAGAATCGAACCCGGGACTCTTCAGTCCACAGGCCGACACTCCATCCACTGAGCCGAACCGGCCAGGGCACGAGAACTAACTTGATTTTACAGCTTTTTAGTTCAGATACGGAAAGCCCATCCGTTTGCAATAGGACCACAACTTTGGCATCCCTCAACGCACGTGGCTGGAACCGAGAGGAAGCAGAAAAGCGGGTCCTGACCTCCTGGGAGGGAGGACAGAGCCGCAGCCCACTCGTCCTTTCCGGGCTCCGGCTTCCTTCTCCCCCGGCTCTCGGCTCTCCCTGATTCTCACCACCGCCCCGGCAGCAGCTCTCCCTCCCAGGCTTTCCCCGTCCGCCTTCCGCTCAGGACTGAGGATCGGGGCGTGGGGCAGAGAAAGCTGGGCAACTAACGCCTAACTCCCGCCAGCCGAGCCTGGGGGGCGCCGGCGGGGCTCCCCCACCCCCCGCGCCCCTCTCCGCCCCCGCGGGGCCCTCGATCTCAGGGTAAATAAATACCTGCTTTAGCGGTCAGCGCTGCGGCCACGTCCCGGCGCGCCCCTCCTCCCCCGCGGCCCGGGAGCCACACCGGCCCTCGCGGGCGGCGCTTTCCGCCGAGTCCCCGGCTCCAGCCTCCCCGCTGCGCTGGGACCCGCGGGCTCCCCGGGCAGAGCCCGTCCAGCTGCGGCCGCTGAAGCCCACTCACCCGGCGGATCCGGAGCGGTGGGCGTGGCTTGGCGGAGCGGGCGGCGCCGGGAGATTGCGTCACCGCCAGGGCTGGCATGTTCGCTGACGTCATCACCGCGCGACTTGACAACATGGAAGGTGAGGACGGCGGCGGCGCTGGAGCCGGACACGGAGCTCTGGGCTCTCGGGCGGCTGCAGCGACGGTCCGGGAGCTCCTGCAGGACGGTAAGGAGGCCGGAGGGACTGTCCTGCTCTGTGCCGGGCCCTGTGTGGGACTTGACCCGCAGTCGCTCTGCAGAAAGTTTTCCGGATCTTGCGGTGACCACTCCCCTCCGCCTGGCCCCCTGGCGTCAGGGTGCTGGCCTTGCCAACTCGCGTCCTGGGACACCTGCTGTCTACTTGCTCCTCATTTCAGCTCTACCTTGCCCGCGCCTGGGGCTTTTGGTCGGTGCCCCAGGTCTTGACCCAAAGGGGAAGCGTTTCATCCCATGAAAAGTGTTGTAGGAATCTCTTTCACGGCCCGCCTGGAAAGTTCCAATCCAGGGTTGGGGTTCTGGAGAAGGGCTGCACACAAATGAACGGACCTGGTACTTGAAGAAATTCAACTTGGTGATATGGGGGGCCAGGCAGTAGTCCAACTCTAGTGGGAGAACTACTCACTGCTCTGGTCCCGCGGTCCCTTTTATTGAGGCTTTGGGGAAAACATCTTAGGCAACATAAACAGAAATTTACATGTTGCCCTTAGGCAGGAAATAACGGAAACTTTCACGGGACAAAAAAGGTGGAGGCTGCTTCAGCTAACAATGTCTCAACTAAAGGGTGAGTGGTTAGAGCAATTAAGGTAGTTGACCAGCCTTCCTGGCTTCCTGTCAATATCTCTTTTTAGTGAAACTGATTTGCTTTCCAGCAAGTGTAAGACCAGAGCAGATGACTGGCGCTTAATGAAAGAGGGACTTATTTTTAAGTGCAGCGGGCAACGGGACGTTCTCTCTGTTAAATTCTTGGACTGCACAGGTGACATCTCCTGCAGGTTCGTTTGTTTATCCACAACCATGGGCGGAAGAGAGTTTGGAGCATTCGTTCAGACTGGGATTAACTATAGTAATTGTATACTCTATAATAATTAGGTTTAGGATGACCAGGCCGGCCGAGGAGGGAAGTTGGTGGCAAACAGGCTGGCAGGGGAGCAGTTAGACATCAATCAGGCTGGCATGGGATTGGTTAAGGGGTGATCAGGTTGGCAGGTAGAAGTGGTTAGAGGCAATCAGGAAGGCAGGCGGGTGAGCAGTTGGAAGCCAGCAGTCCTGGATTGTAAGAGGGCAGCCGGACATTCCTCGAGGAGTCCCACATTGGAGAGGGTGCAGGCTGGGCTGTGGGATACCACTCCCCTCCCCCCCCCCCATGCACAGATTTCATGCACCGGGCCTCTAGTGTATTAAAATAATTTCATAATTTAATCTTTTCTACTTCATTGTAAAACCACTAGTTATATTCCACAGTGTTAATAATATCACCTCGCATATAGTAGGTGCAGAATACATTTTTTAAAAAAATTGAACAACATCAAGAATCATATACAAACATTTGGAGACCATAGTAGATTATAAGTAAAAGTTCTGTGGGTGAAAAAGGGGCCGCCTACTAAACCTGACAAGCTCTGGGGACGTCTGCCTGGTAAGCCAGACAAACTCAAGAGACCTAATGTAACCACATAGGAGGGTCTGAAATTAAAATTTACTAACTGAAAATGAATTGGGATGGTTAGTCATGTCCTAGGCTGGTGTCTTTCTTTACAAAGCTCAATGTTTAATTGAGCCTGTCTACTGTCTTTTTGCATCTATAACAACATATCTTTGGAATGTCAGAGTAACTCCCTATTGCCATACCCTTCAGGGCACAATCTCCCATCAGAACACGGGACCACAGAACCCCCTCGTTATCTTTTTAAAAAATATATATATTTTATTGATTTTTTACAGAGAGGAAGGGAGAGGGATAGAAACTTAGAAACATTGATGAGAATGAAACACTGATCAACTGCCTCCTGCACACTTCCTACTGGGGATGTCCCCACAACCAAGGTACATGCTCTTGACTGGTATCAAACCTGGGACCTTTCAGTCCACAGGCCAAAGCTCTATCCACTGAGCCAAACCGGTTAAGGCCTCATTGTTATCTTGTTCTCCCACATCTGTTTGCTGTGTTAATTGTTAACTATCCAGTATCCACCCATGCAAAAGAAGTATTTGTCTTTTCATTTTACTCTTTATCCAGTCTTAGAGATTTCCTAGCTTTGCTTTCTTATGCCTCCCTAAACTACCACCAATGGATTTCCTATAACCCCTTATGTCATCTCTGGAGCATTTTTCTCAATCCATTGAGATTTTGCTTCTTGGCATTGTCATCAGTTAAGCTCAAATAAACACCTGAAAATTCTTACAGGGTTTGGGTATTTCTTACATCTGACAGTTTTCTCTGACGGTTGTATATGTTATTATTGCCCATAATTACTTGGCTTATTTTTATTGATTTCAGAGAGGAAGGGAACATCAATGATGAGAGAGAATCATTGATAGGCTGCTTTCTGCATGCCCCCTACTGGAGATGAAGCCGAAAAATCAGGATATTGACCTGAATCGAACTCAGACCTTTCAGTCGCAGGCTTATGCTCTGTCCACTGAGCCAAACCAGCTATGGCAATTACTTGGCTTCTCATAACATATATACTTTTGTCAAAACATAATTAATGGTGGTGTTTCCCTTTTTTTAATTTTTATTTTTTTAAATTTTCTTATTGATTTTTAGAAAGAGGAAGGGAGAGCGAAAGAGAGAGAAACATCCATGTAAGAGAAAAACACACCCCGACCTGAGATGAAACCCATAGTCTAGGCATATGTCCGAGATCGGGAATCCAACTGGTGTCCCTTTGGTGCACAGAATGGTGCTCAACCAACTGAGCCACACCAGCCAACACTAATGGTGGTGTTTTCTGAACTAGATTTTGTTAGATTCTGAAGGTTAGATTCTGTCTAATGTATCTTTGTATCTTAATTTAAATTTAATTGAGTTAAATTTTGAGTTCCTGATATATGGGCAGTTTCCACCCTCAAGTAGCCCACCATTTTAGTAGGGGAAATAGTCTTACAGAGCTATAAAGACAGGACTGTAATGGGATTGGTAGGGCAGTAGTAAACTGTGTACAAAGTAAAACATTAATATGTACAGAGGAGGATGGAAATGGGGAGTGGTTAGGGGAGTGTCAGGAAAGTCTAGATAGAGTTGGTTTTTTAAGTGTAAATAGAACTCCCCAGAAGTGGAAAAAAACAACACGTCAGACATATATATTTTCAGTAGGATGAATTCCCGGAACTATAATCAGTTTTTGGAGGTTAAATATTACTCACTTATGCCTTTTATATATTCCAATTTAGTTCTCTTACTTATCTTCCATAGTGGTTATTTAAATCTTCTTTACTCTTTTCAAACTTAACAAATGACTTTCAACTTCCTTTTCTTTTTTATTATTTATTTATTTGGAAACTTACTGAAGTACAAGTACAGACTCGCGAGTGGGAAGAGGGAAAGAATCTCATAGCATAGACTCCTATATGGGGAGGGGAAAGAGTCCCCTCAACTTTCTTTAAAAAAAAAAAAAAATAGCCATGGCTGGGTGGGTCATTTGGTTGGAGCATCGTCCAGTACACCAAAAGGTACAAGTCTGTGTCCTGGTTAGGGCACATATCTAGGTTGGGCTTGTACAGGAGGTAACTGATCCATGCTTCTCTCCATTTCTCTCTCTCCTTTTCTCTCTCTCTCTCAACATATCTTCAGTGAGTGGTTAAAGAAAGAAAGAAAAGGAGCGAGAAGGAATCTACCAGGTGTGAGCTTTCTTCACTTCTTGCCGTCAAACTTATAAGCTAAACCTGAACCTGCAGCCATCTTTTCTTCCCGTTCCTCTCATACTTTCAATTATAACAGAAGTGAAGTCTCTGCTCCTTCCTAAGGACTGCCCTCCTCTTGTGCTCTGGATTTTCTTTTTGTCTTCACCAGGATCCAGTCACCCTCATGCTATGCCTATGAAATCGCTTTGCCCAGGTCTCCAGTGAATCCCTTGTAGATAAATCAAATGGACACAGCATTATTTACAGTAACCAAGATCGGAAGTAGTCCACGTACCCATCAGTAGATGAGTGGATAAAAAAGCTGTGAGCCCTGGCTGGTGTGGTTCAGTTGGTTGGGTGTAGTCCCGTGCCCCAAAAGGTTGCTGGTTTGATTTCCTGTCAGGGCACATGCCCAGTTTGTGGGTTCAATCCTTGGTTGGGCATGTGTGGGAAGCAACAGATGGATGTTTCTCTCTCACAATGATGTATCTCTTTTTATCTCTCTAAAATTCAAGTCAATAAAAATGATTAAAAAAAAAACTATGGTACATTTACACAATCAAATACTACTTGGCTGTGAAAAAACAGGGAGATTGTATCTTTTGTGACAGCATGGATAGACCAGGAAGATATTATATTAAGTGAAATAAGCCAGTCAGAAAACACCTTATGATTCCACTTAACATGTGGAATCTAATTAACAAAATAAACTAACAAACTAGAAACAGAATAACAGATAACTCAGAACAGCCTGACAGCTGTCAGAGGGGAAGAGGATTGAGGGCTGGGTGAAAAAGGTGACGTGATAAAGAAGGAAAACCCCCCCCACATAGATACAGATGGTGAGTGCCAGAGGGAAAAGGAGGTGGGGGGGGGGGGGGAGGTGGAAGAGAGCGAAGAGGTATAAATGGTGTCTGTAAGAGACTTTACTTTGGGAAGTGAGTGCATGATACAGTATGCAGATGGTATGTTACAGAGTTTCACATTTGAAACTTGTATGGTTTTATTGAGCAGTGTCACCCCAATAGATAAAAAAAATATTTTTTACACTTTTTTTCTCCCCTAATCTGCACCTGAGGTCATACTTAGAGAGAAACATCATCTGTCATTCACAAACTTTAAAATA